CGATAAGTGTGGGCCGGGAGTGCGGGCTAATCGACGAATCGGATTCCGTGATCAAAGTGGAGGCCGAACTGTTCGAATCAGTTATGGGTAACCAAGCGTTGCGAGTATTTTACGGTTACGTCAAACTTCCGGGTTTTAGCGAAAAGTTAAACATGAAGTGGACGGGCGGTACGGAAATAGATGACACACTATTGCCAGTACAGGGGACCGAAGGTGGGCGCCACCATTTAGCGTTAGAGGGCGATGTGTATGAACTTATCCGACAAAATGATCGCAAGCTGTTGAACCAAGTCGTTCATAAAGGAACGATATTCGCTAGAATGTCACCCGAACTAAAACTGAGCCTGGTAGAGGTATTACAACAACAGGGTCATCAAGTTGGCATGTGTGGGGATGGTATGTAATTTTTAAAATAGTTATTCTGTTATTTTACACATTATTATGCTTCCTTATTCGCTTAGTATTTTAAATAAATAGATGATATTTTACTTTTTGAATAAAGAGTTACTTAACAATTAAATTAAACCTCACCTTACTCAAATAGGTGCCAATGATTGCGGTGCTCTAAGGACTGCAAACGCCGGTATATCCCTATCGGGTGACGAGGCATCGGTGGCCTCACCCTTCGCCTATCGCGACAAAAACATATCGTGCGTACCGACCCTTATAAGCGAGGGTAGGGCTAACCTATCGGCAACTATCGGTGCTTTTAAATACCAAGTTTGCTATGGTTTCGTATTACTGGGCGCTGTACTCATACTATTTTGGGAGGGTAACAAACCTTCCGATGGTTAGTAGCTAGATAAATGTAACTAATTTAATATTATATAATTTACACAAACCATTATTCAATAGGGACGTACGTGTTTGTGGACATTATACTAAACATATTGCCACCGGTAGTGTTCGGGGCTACCCGTGCTTATCCCATGATCGTCCGGCAACAGCCCACGGCTACTGTTCTCACATTTTTGCCCCAACTCTCTATGTATTCATTCATTGTCTTTCAGTTTTTACTATATTTAGCGATCAGACAATTAACTGTTTCGCAAGTTTGGTAAGTATCTTGAAATTATTGTAAAACTTAATTTACCAAGATAACTTACAGGTACGAACCATTTGTATTCGAAGTATCGCAAACACATTCACCGAAACCATCGCACATATCATTAGCCATATTCTCCGTTAATATGATCTCCTATGTCATCGCTGCCATTATTTTTAATCCGGGACCTCCCTATCGGACGGACATATTTTCTAACAGTTAACTAGTCTTCAAATATTAATTAAAATATTTCTAATTATTTGACTTTTATTACAGAGTGGTATTTATTAGTAGTATTGATAAACTTTGCATTAGTGGCCTGTGTAATCCTATTTCCACCACAATTTCTATTGACATTTTTAAACGTAAGTATTTACGGTGGTTATAATTAAACATACTGACGTCAAAATATTTACATGGTTCACATATTCAAAACCAATATTTAAATTCCAGTGATAGTTATTTAATAAAACTAATTTTTTAAATATAAATTACAGTTCAAAGAGATTCCCTATCATTTCAAACTAATACTATTCATGATATCGATCGCAAACTTCATATTGTGTTACGTGTGGGAAATGGTCGTACTTCAGGGCATTGTATTCAATTGGCTTCTGCCGAAACTGCGGTCCACGAGAGCACCGGTACGTCTGTTCGAGAAGATTGAGCTCGAGATGCGAGACAACAACAGTTGGCCACCGATTGTCACTTCCCAACGGTTTGACTACTCGGCCAAACACGACAGACAGGCGTCCATTTTGAAGAGGAGAATGGCCGCCAAAGAGAGACTACTGACCAATGCTATAGTCATGAGGACTATCAGTAATGACGATGAATTGAACAGTCGGTACGTGCCGTCCATTATGGCTCAGACAAGTTTGGAGTCACCGGTAGCTCATAGCCGCACCTCCTATCAGATGACATTCAGCACATTTTCACCAAGCAACAATCGCAATCACCGAGTTAGTATTGAACCCGAACACGATTCTAGTCTATGAACATCGAGTGTATGGTCTATTTTTATTAATTATTTTAATAGTTTTATATTAAGTTAACTATTGTATTTTCAAAGATTATCAAGCAATTAAATTTGTATTAAATAAAAATATTAATATTTACTAAGAGTACGTGGATAAATAATTTATATTTTAGAAATCATTATAAACTTTTAAGCTTTTCAGCGGTTAATAGCCTATAATAAACAAAATTCAATGCATTTGTGGTTAAATCAATAGAAATTGTGTTGATTTTCTTGGAGTGAATCTCATTTACTGTCATTATTTACAAATACTTTGTAGTTATTTATTCATTGTTTTCGTGTCACTATTAATTAACAGTGAATGAATTTACAAATACACAGATTATAAACGTACCAAGACTACTTTCCGTAAATTCAATCATTTAATACAATTTGTAGTATTTTTGTTCATTTTTATAAAACACGCAAATAATCGAAAAAAATATTTCAAAATTAATAGTTATTTAAGAAAACAGTAATTTATTGAAACGAAAATGTTAAGCACAAAATGAATACAAATAACTTAAATAAAGTTTTTCTTATGTAATATAGTAATACAATTAAACGAGTTTTTATAATTTACTAATCATTAAGTAATTGTTAGAATAACTTATATATTAAATCAATAATTGAATTGAAAGTTATAATTATTATAAGAAAAAGTAATACAAACATTTGAATACAAAATACAAAATTGAGTTAACAATTCAGAGAGTGTATGGCTATTGCTATGAGTGTCCATAGTATGGATTCCATACATTGCATGTTAGCTCAGAAAAGTTATTACCGTAAATAATAAAAGGTTTTAATAAAGAACTTAAATTTGGTTTCTTAAAATTACAAATATTAACAATTAATTACGGAATCAATATTAATCTCCAATATATTATTCAATATAAATCTCAATATTATTTCAAGTCTTCATAAATATCTTAAATATCGATATAAATGTAACCAATTTTGGGATAATTATAAGAAATGTGATAATCATTCATGAATTTCGAAACACATTATATAATAAGACACTCATTATTAATGTCTGAATCCTCAATAGGCTTAACGAGTTTTATATCAATGTTTTCAACATTAGGACAAATACTGCGAATAGTATTGCAAAGCAATTGTTGATCAACACTGCAATCAACTCTTAAACTGTGAAGTCGTGTCAAATGTGACAATACATTGACATCCGTTTCATCAGTTATTGTAGTCGTCGGGAGGGATAGGTATCGCAGTTGCGGTAAATCTGTGGCAATGTTTGGCACAAAGGGATCAAATGATAGCTCAGAAAACTTGTCAAATACTTTCAAACGCGTCAATCGTTTGCATTCAGTGAGTCTCGCATTACATGTGACGGGAGACCCGAAATGACCGCTTATTTTAAGCCGTCGTATGTGTGGACCAAATGCGGTGTTAATGGCAGTAATGATCGCATCCAACGATATGTGAAGTATTATATCGTTTAACTCCAAACGCTTGAGTTCACCACAATTCACACCAATTCGTGTCAAGTCATCGACTAATGTGTGATAAGTGAACAAATATCCACTTCTTATGGTAACTCTTAAGTGAATCAATTCATGCATTCGTGACAAACACTTCATTACATTAGACAACAGGTCTTCGTCCATGAAATCAATGGTCATATTAATTGACCGCAACTTCTGGCCATAGTTTCTCACAAATGGTTTAATAGTTTTCAACCGATTTTGTGGATCACATCCGCTGTCATCGAGAATCAGTTCAATGGTCTCGAGTTTCTTGAAGTGAATCTCATTTTTCACACAAAATAGTCGCGAAAACAGTGAATCGTTTGCAATGTTTGACGAAATGGTAATTTTGCGCACATTTTCACACGTTTTGAGTGTTTGTGTGAAATATATGGCATTCAAACGGTTGCCATAAATCATAAACAAAATTGTCTCCAATTGTTGGCCATATTTGTCGCAAAAGGCTTTCAACTCAATGCCATCAATACTACTGACGGAGTCTTGTGTCGTATAAACAGACAATTCATTCAAATGGTGACAATGTTTGCCAACAATTGCCAGCATTTTATTAGCCATTGCTTTGTCCTTATAATACAATTCAATGCTTTCCATGTGTTTAAGCCTTTTGACGATTGTCTCAAACATTGTAATGCCTTTTGGACTCACTTTCAACCATAACTCGTCATCAATTGATAGCTCCGATTGTGTCTTATATACCACTCTCTGGATCTGTTTGGAGACACTTTCACATTGGAATCGGTCCTCAAATGACAGGTAAGACAACAAGACTTCACACAAATCGTCACCAAATCTATCGAAAGAGTCTTTGCTATAGATTTGAGACATTCTTCAGCTTTCAGTCAATACTTGACCACAAAATCAGTGATTATTAAGTGAAACACAACTCAATTGAAAACCCAATGAAATGAATGCAATACTAATCACTCACACAATGAGAGGTTTGGCGGAAAGGGATGTGAAATGCAGTGTTGAATGAGTGGTCAACCAATCAGTACTGATGTCCACAACTAGTTATCTATTCACAGACTTTATGTGACTTTTTATTAACATTAATCACCATTCAATCTATTCATACAATTTTTTAAAAAGTAGCAAAATTTAGGACTTTATTCATACAATTATTCACTTATTACATTGATTTTAATTACTAAACCGCTTTTATTTAAAATTTAAATTATAAATAAATTAACAATTATGGTAATATAGGAATAATAATTAATATTTTATTTTCCTATAACCCAAATTGGCTATTTGTATGTAAAATATTATTTTTATCAAAGATTCTTAATAAATTCAATTAAAAAGTTAGCAAATTATAATTATTAATGAAAATACAATTATAATTTTGTAGTATTAAACCTAAACACGATTCTAGTTTATTAAAAATAAGTATGGTTTATTTTATGAATTAGTTTTATTTGTACAGCATAATTTTTTACATAATAATTAAGTATTATAATTTTTAATTAATAAACCCGTCACATAACTTAATTTGTGCCAAGCGTATAAATCTTACTATCAATAATCATAGAAGTTTCCGGGTAAAATTTACCCTCGAACCTATACTTGACTACAAATTCAGTGATTATTATGCGAAACTCAATCGAAACCCCAATGAAATGAATGCAATACTAACTTACCTCTTACTAATATCTATAATTATCTAGTATAAATCCTACTATCAATAACTACAGATGTTTCCGGATAAAATTTACCCTCAAACCTATACTGTTTCAAATGCTCCGGTATATTCTCATTATATTCATCAAAATACTTTTGGTAAATAACCTTGCTCGACTTTAACCACTCGCTTATCGGATAGAAACACCGTTTCCAACAACTTCTCGACTCAAATATCTTGCTTAACTCAATCTCGTAATTAAAAAGACATTTCTCTAACATTTCCTCGCATTTAACAACCGATACGTAAAACACGTGAATCGCATGCTTTAAATCCATTTCCAAATTCCTGTTCAGAATATTCCCAACACTTTCGGCATAATATTTCCGGAATCTCTCCACACATTCAACGCTAAGAGACTGATATTTTAAATGTATTTTATGTTGCATTATATACTCAATCACTGTACAATCTCGATAACACTGAGCTAGTTCAGTTTTGTATGAGTGGATACATTTTTGGGCGTATTTAAGATCTTGGGTAAATGTGTGCATTTTCATTCTCAACTTTTGTCGCAGAATATTCTTATATTCCTTATAAATATTCTGGAAACTTTCCATATCGTGGTATTCATATTGATCTTGCTCAGTATTAAACTGAGCATCACATTCATCCAGGTATTTATCATTGGATAGATTTATCTGGCTAACTGTCTCAGCATTAATCATACCAGGGTCATATTCATCACGAATTTTTCTAATATACTCAAATAAGTAGTTTTGAACAGGGAAATAAATCTTCCTAACTAAATTATCAAGTTCAGTGATAAAGCCTATGTCATGTATTGTACAATTTTGCCTTGAACTATCGGGATCAATCGATTCAATGCATTGTTTCCGGATCATTTCATAATTTTCATTATACTGCACAATAAATCCCTCCATTGGATAGGAATCCCTCGATGTGTTGAAAGTTTTAATTGAATTTGTTATCAATTTTAAGCACATATTGAAGTGTTTTTGAATAATTACAGTTTGATTAATAAATAATTCATTTTCATTAATATTATAACGATTCACGTATACAGCGTATTCACTTTCAAAATGTTCCTGATCAATGTCTTTAAACAAAAACTTGTGGAATAAATCACATAATTTGCTGTTAAATATTGCGGTATTTTCTAATTCTTGAGACTTTTCCGAATTATTATCAGAATAATTAAATACATCGAGATGATGATTATTATCATGGGCAATCATATTAATTTTATCGAGTATCTTGCACAAATTTTCCTTCACTTTATCGGATTCCAATGCATGTATTTTAAGCATATTTTCAAATATAGTTTTGTATAGATTTATAAATAAATTACACTCTTTGATCATACGAATGGATACAATAACCTCGGTATTTATGTCTAATAATTCACTAATGCTGTACTGCCACCGGGGCATGTGTTGCAATATGTCCATACAGGTGGGTCGTTTTGTAGGTGTGCCATTTGTCATTTCACCAACATATTCTTGTAATTGCTTTATTTTATCATTATGCTCAAGGTCATTTATAGTGCTGTAAAAATCAAGAAATAATACTATTAAAACTATTTAATAATATGTTTAAATTATTGTTTGAAAATTAACTTTGTTTATACTGATAAAAATATTTGAGTTATTAAACTTATATAACTACTTAAATTTAATTGTTTACACTTAGTTAATAAGAAAATCAACAGTTCACAAACCCAATGTTTAAATCGTGATGATTAAAATAAACAAATTAAAAATATATAAATATTTATTTACAGTTATAACATATGGCTACGCTTTTAAAGTTTAATAAAGCTGGTTACATTAACATAATAAACAATCATTACCTGTCTAAATAAAACAAATTGGCCACAATAATACCCAGGCTATAAATATCGGACTCGAGATAATAGCGACCATTAAAACATTCGGGTGCAATAAATCCCAAAGTACCGGCGCCTACAGTCAGCGTAACACTTTCCGTAGCATTTGCTCTGATGAGGGCTAATCCAAAATCACAAATCTTACAGAATATTCCGTTCGCAGAATTCTCCACAAATAATATATTCGCCGGTTTGAGGTCCCTATGGATTACCGGGGGCTCCAAAGCGTGCAAATACTGTAACCCCGACACAAGTTGACGGAATATTTCGCACGATATGAGGTAATCCACGGGATGTCTGTCCCTTTGGGTTTCCGTGTCATTCATACCGAAAGCGTTTGCCTTTAAATGCATGACATCTTTGAGATTATGGGAACAGAACTCCATTTGAATGTATATTATGTTTGCTTCAATCCATGCGTCCCAACAGTGGACCACATAATCGCTGTTCAGGGATGTTATGGTTTTCATCTCCTGTACCGCCTTTTCCCGGAAATTTTCTGTAAATATATATTACATTAAAAATAAAGTAAACTTTTAACACAAATTAAAAATCGCATTTATTTGAAACATACCGTCAATCAAGACCTTTTTGATTGCGTATACGTTTTGCGATGATTTTTGGCGCACTTTATACACGGTTCCGAAACCCCCGGTAATGCCAGCGTTAAGAACATCGAACTGGTCCTCAAATGTTAGACTCATTTTATTTTAACATTTAATATAAAATATTTTTATTAATTTCATTAAATAGTAACCTCACAGTAAGTATACTAACAGTAAGTCTAATGCAACTTAAAATTTAATTGTTATAACACTTGCGATAAGTAATTAGATAAAGATGCACTCAAAATAACACTGATTTCATAAGCTAACTGTAAGCATATTAGGTCATAAAGTTGTTATATACCTTTAATACTATTATTATTATTTTAATAAGTCACATTTTTAAGATAAATATTAGTTTGAGGTCTTTTAAATTAGTCATTAAATAAAATTACTTTAATACAAGCAAACATTTAATCAACTTTATTTAAACATTTGTATTGGTTATTTTAATCAAGGTTTATGTGCCAAGTAAAAATATCATACAATCTGTTGCATATAGCACTTAGCTATTAAGGTAGCAAGTTGTATTTACCATTACATAAATTACTGGTACAACTATATTATTGCAGTTAATTTGCGTCATTCAGGTCATGCAAAAATTAAATCATTTTATTTCATTTTATTTAAGTAATAGCAAATATTTTATTAGATTTTTAAAAATAAAACACAGCAAATTATAATAATAAAAATATTTTAAGCGAGTATATCCATGATGTTTAACATAGCAAACAATATTGATTTTTATACTGTATGTACCCGGTGTATTTTGGTTCCTTATGCTCTAAGATCATTAAAACAATTGCAAGTTTAAATGTTAATTTAGATTATCATGCTAAATTACAGGTCTCTTTCATCTACTTGAAGTGCTTAGGGGGTAAAATTGCAATAGGTCTTACCATGTTGAAGTGTATCTGGCATAGGCCTATCATTGCCTAAATTATTAAGTTGTAATTATTTACACTCCTAATTATAAATTTAAAATATTTTCAACCAATTTTTAACTCAATTGCTTTCAACCATTTTGTGATTTTTGTAATTTAAATTTTTTAAAGGATAATTTATCATGTTTATTAAATAAAATTATAATTTGTATCATAAATTATGATTCATAATTATTATTATTTAAATGAATATTTTTTATTCACGATTTATATAATTCAAATTTTTGCGCTTTTAAAGTATACATTCAGTTTATAAATAAATTGTTTGCAACTTTTTCTAATACAAATACTCGTATAGTTCCAATATATAAAAGTACCAAAACTGTTTACAAATTTAGTATGCATTCAAATGCATGGATCACACAAAACAGCATAACTGACACAATTATATAGACTTATATTGCACTAACAGTTAACTTGTTTTAAACATACAAAACAAAGTCACGTGACGTTTAAAACTCAATCCAAAAGTTTGTTTTGAGTGAAAAACACGAAAACAATTGAAAAGTGAATTAAAAGTGAAAACAATTGTCGTTATAATGAGTGAAAGTGAAGGAGTGGTCGACCACTGGACTGACGGCTAGATTCACGACAACACCACTCACTCTGTGTCTCCGTATATATATATATACTGATTGTCGGGGAAAGGGATCTGCATTTGGAGGACAGGTAATCAAAAACAGTTATCATAACTATAATGATAACTATAAAGACAATTAAAACTAATAGTCTTCTCCTTAATAGTGATAAACACGTGAATGGATAGCAGTATAGCATTGGTTACGCCACTCATTATAGTCACCGAAATACCGCTCACTTTGGCATCAATTTGACGGACAATTACATGAATACATAACATAGAGTTCAATGACCTCTAGTCTCGTAATATTTCAAATCATTTTCAGCACATTTAACATTTTATATTAAATAAATGACTATATTTATAGTTTGTGTTTAGTTACGTATAATTATAACAATTATTAGTGTTTTAAAAGTTAGCAAAAAGTGTTACAAACTTCTTATAACTTTAAAAACTTAAAACTCATTGAATGAGTGGTGAAAACAATGTCTCAAATCTATGCGAAAGACTCTTTCGACCGCTTCGGCGATGATTTGTGTCAACACTTATTGAGTTACCTATCATTTGGTGAGCGCTTCCGACGTGAATGTCTGTCCACTCAATGGCAACGAGTCGTATATAACACTCAAACCTCCATAACATTTGACAAACAATTGACCGCTTATTTAACGACCACTACTACCACCGATACTATCAATACTATCGACACAATCGTGAAAAAGTGTCACAAATCGGCGAAAAGCCTTACAATATATTTCTATACCCCAGCCATATATACGGCTATTATCGACGCTATCATTAAATATTGTAACGAATTGACTGAAGTGCGGGTCACGTGTGATACCTGTCCCACGAATGTCATATCGCAGCACCTGTACACCAAATACGGCCAACAGTTACGTACCATAGGATACGACTTTCCCGTGAGTCGTGGCAACGACCTGTCCATACGCCGTAATATAGCCCACTGTCCCAACATTGAGCGCCTGTACTACACCATACCCTACCACCAGTGCCCTCGCATACGAGCTCTGTATCCACTGTCGCGTCACTATCAGTCGCTACTGTTTGGCCAACTATTTTGCGGGGGTGTTGGCGATGCTGATGAAGGGGTCGCACAGGGCCTACACTACGCCAGACTGCATACTATCCGCACGTACTTCGAGAGGGACTCTATGGCACACACACCTAATCTCACGCTTAACAACTTCGACACGTTTATCGCTAATTACAGCTTAAACATCAAGGTATTTGACGTGACCATTGGTGCCATGATAACCCCCACAGAGGTGACCCGGATTATGACCGGTGTGTCACATATGACTCAATTACGGAGCTTAAGTGTCACGTATAGTAACATTGATTTGAAGGACAATCACTACCGAAACCAATGGGAACTCATTGAACGGAAATGCCGGCGCCTTAAGCGCGTGTCCATCAAAGCCAACCGTTTGATGGCTAAGCAGTTCAACGCCTTTATTGACATTATTAACGACAAACTGTGTGGTCGTGTGAAAGGTGTGGACATACGGGTGCCGTTTGGCAAACGCATGGCATCAGCGGAGCAAATGCTGTTCAACACGTGCGCCAAACACGTGACTCACGTGCGGCTCGACTTCGGCACCGATTGGGTGATAAGCGACCAATTTTTGGTGAATTTATGCGATAGTCTGCCGGCGATTCAGATGTTGGAGCTCTCGTCGAGGGTAGAGGTGACCAAAAGGTCGCTGAAAGGGTTGACACAATTGCCAAGACTTCAGAACATAAGACTTGTGGTGAACAAAGACATCGAGGAATTGGTTTATCACACACTGAGGGATAAGTGTCCGAAAGTGGCCACAGTTTGTGTCAATAAATTAAATTAATATTTTTAAGGGAAACTCATTTTTAAACATATTTAATAACTTATTAATAATAAGTATTGTGCTATTTATTACCTGTATTAGTACCGTATATTTATTTATTTTCTTATAAAGGTATTACCGGTAAATTTATTTTATATTCTCAGCTAATGTTTGTGCATTTAATGAACATTTTGACACTTTTTATATTTTAAATGAATATATTGTAATTTGAACAGTTTTATAAAATAATTTATCATGTTTTAATGAAATGAAAATAAATATGGAGATGTTTATTGAAAACATTTATTATACCGGTATTTCTTTAAATATCAATAGACTAACAATTTTAGTAATAGATTTGTTTACTAACGTGTCTGATAATACTTATTATAAATATGTGGTAATTGTTTGCAACTTTATATCAGATCAATGGCTATTATAATTGATAAGACTGTCTACCTGTCGACCCACACATTCAATAAATGATTTAAATGCTATTTCATCAATGAAATTCATGTAATAAAGCAATTTTATAATAACTTTTATAATAACTTATGTTATCGAAAAACTAGCAATAAAATGAATTAAATAATATAGATGTTTGTGAACAAATATAACTAACAATAATATTTTATAGTATAATTAACTAAAACTTATTATTTTTCTAAGATTGTTATTAATTAGCTTATTAATTGTACGGTATCTACAATTAATTAAGGTCTCATTAAAAAACAATAATAATGCAAATAATATTAATCATTGGGTTTCTCACATTCATAGCGTGCGATGGTATGAATACTACTTTATAAAATCAATTCAATATTTATACAGGGATGAAAAATTATAAAAATTAAAAATATTTAAATTTCAAATTCAGACAAATGTGTACCGGATATGGACTGCGAAAAGTGTATCGGTGTGAAGGGCTGTGCGTTTTGGTACTGCGGTTCAGAAGGAATAGGTTTGTAATATGATGATAGCCATAAATAACCATCAATTCACTAACATTGTCTAAATATCAATTAATTAGAGACACTGAACTTGACAATATGTGAGTACACCGGTAAACATAAACCTAATGAAACTTGCGATGACAACTGGAAAAAAGTACAGCCTCATGGTCAATTTAAATGTAAGCCAGTTCATTCAATTATGTTGTTGATAATAACATACAGTAGTGTATAAAAATATTTATTGCAATATTAATAAATAAATGTTTAACAAGGTCCTAAGCCATTGGCAACCACAATCCCGACAATAGCAACTACTACCGATACTAGTCCGTCCACCATCACCACTACAATACACCATTCCAGTACCATGCTCAAATCAACCACTGAACAAACAACAAGTACCCAGCATGAGACTAGCACCACAAGTAATTAATATATTTATAAACTAATTTTAAAACTATAAAAAATTCATTAAAACATTTGATGGCCTCACTATTATAGGTAAACCCACAGCTCCTACATCTACAGAACTTAACCCCAAGGATCCGGAAACTAATCGTAAGCTAACCGGTTGGACAATAGCCGGTATAGTAATATCCAGTTTAATTGCGGTAATTATATTGCTGTGGTTGGCCTACAAAAAGATCTGGAAAATAGGGAGGACTCGCAATCCCTACCGATCCCTAAATGACGAGAATTATTAAAAATCATAATTTTGAGTTTACATAATACAATATTTTCATAATAAAATTGATTAATAATTTAAATAGTTATTTAATTGTAAACCAAATAATCTGTAGTATTAACAGTAATACAAGTTTTTTTTATTTACAAGTTAAAAGCAAGTTATTGCAAATAAAATACAAATTATGCGCTAATATTTTAAGCCTTTTTGTAATAAGAATATAAATTATTCTTACCCCATCATATTATATATAAAAGTACCAAATGTCTGTTCAATATGTTTTGTATTCAAATGTATGGCTAAATACAAATTATGCGCTAATATTTTAAGCCTTTTTGTAATAAGAATATAAATTATTCTTACCCCATCATATATATATATTTTCATGGTTTACAGACAAGTTATACAAAACATAAGTTTACATACCGAGTATGTTTTGTCATATTGACTGTGTTTATTTATCGGAAGTAAACATGATTATCAATTGCACAAAATTTTAAAAAGTAAAGTTATGTGATGTAAGTAGACTAACAAAACAATCAAAAGTTTATTTTGTTTTGTTTGAAGTATTTTCAGTGAAAACACGAAAACAATTGAAAAGTGAATGAAATGTCAAAACAATTGTCGTTATAATGAGTGAAAGTGAAGGAGTGGTCGACCACTGGACTGACGGCTAGATTCACGACAACACCACTCACTCTATGTCCGTACGGCTCGAGTGGAAAGGGATCTGCATTTGGAGGACAGGTATTTAAAACAATTATCATAATTATAAAGACAATTAAAACTAATTTTCTACTCATTTAGTGTAATACTAGTGAAAGTGAAGGAGTGGTCGACCACTGGACTGACCGTACGGTTCACTGCAACCAAACAGACTCTGGAGTTGTGTTTCACATAATAATCAGTGATTTTGTGGTCAAGTATTGAATGAGTGGTGAAAACAATGTCTCAAATCTATGCGAAAGACTCTTTCGACAGATTTGGTGACGATTTGTGTGAAGTCTTATTGAGTTATCTGTCATTTAAAGAGCGCTTCCGATATGAATGTGTGTCCAAACAGTGGCAACGAGTCGTATATAACACCCAAATGCAACTCATAATAGACAAGAAATTATGTAAACATATGTTCAATAAAAACATTATTTACGTGAAGCAGAGTTCAGGTTCTTATATCGCCACAAATACGGGTAATAAAGGCTTACAATTGTTTGAGACTATTGTGAACAAGTGTGCTAATATTAAACATATTAATCTATTTCAATACGATATGCGATTGACTAATGAATTGCTGAAAATAGTGCCCAAATATTATGACCATTTGAATGCTTTGATTGTGTACGCAGAAAGTTATGGCGTGAATGGCATAGACCTGGATAACTTCCTCACCAATTATGGCAAACAATTGCAAACAATTGCTTTCATTGACCGGAGGAGAGAATTGAATGAAACTTATTTGACACCAATGCTTCAAATGTGTGAAAATATGTTTTGTATTATGATTACGTCAAACATTGCAAAGGATTCCCTATTTTGGCGACTATTTTGTGTGGAAAATGAGATTCACTTCAAGAAACTCAATGCAATCGGTCTGACACTGAAAGAGGAATTGTATGGAAAACCCAAAATACAATCCATTGAACCATTTGTGCGAAACTATGGACAGAAGTTGCGATCATTTGATTTAATCTTTGACTTCTCGGATAAGGACCTAATGAGTGATATAATGAAGAGTTTGTCACAAATGCATGCTTTGATTCATTTAAGAATTGATTTTAAGTATCGTTTCGAAGATACTTATCACACATTCATCGACGACTTGACACAAATTGGTGTGAATTGTCGTCAACTCAAGAAATTAATCTTAAGAGACATACGATTAAAGGTATCGTTGGATACGATCATTGATACGATCAACAGATCGTTTGGTTCACACATACGACGGCTTGAAATTAGAGGTCATTTCGGTTCATCAGTCGCGTGTAATGCGAGACTCAATGCATGCAAACGATTAACACATTTAACTCTATTGTGTAGCGGAGGTTATTCAGAGAGTGAGCTATCATTTGATCCCTTCGTACCAAACATTGTCACAGATTTACCACAACTGCGATACCTATGCCTCCCGTCGACTGTCTTAAGGTATGAGACGGAAGTGAATGTATTGTCACGACTCACACGACTTCACATGTTTAGAGCTAAATGTTATGAAAACCTTGAGATGTTTAATCAATTATTGAATCCATATAATCGTGTAATGAATGTAAACTCAGTCGGTAGACGTATGAATCACAATGAAATTTTTATGAATGCTATTCGTAATAGTTGTCCCAAAATGACAAAAGTCTACATTGAGGTTATATATGATTATTATGATGAGCCCACAAATTGTGGTGATATCGATGACTACGCTAACTATTAATTCATTGATTGCATAAAGAAATGTATTTAAACACGTGGTTTATGAAAATACTTCGTTTACCAATTCATCAATGAAGTTATTTAAAAAGTATTCATTTAAAATTTTATTTTAATTTGTGTTTCTATTATGATTAATGCATAATACAGTAAAATAGAGTTTAGTGTTGAATGCAGTGATTGTATCGTTGGATCATATGATTGATATGATTAACGCGGCGTTTGGTCCACACATACGACAGCTTGAAATGTGTGGCTATTTCTACGACACCATCGCATCTAATGCGAGATTCAATGATTTCAAACGATTAACACATTTAAAATTCATTGATAATTATAATTACTCATTGAGTAAACTAATATTTGATCCCTTCGTGTCAAATATAGTCTCCGATTTACCACAACTGCGATCTCTATGCCTACCAATGATTGGCACCAAACATAAATCAAAATTGAAACTATTATCACATTTGCCACGACTTCACCGTTTAATAGTTCATTGCTACGATAATCAGCAAATGTTTTACAATACAATTCGCAGCATTTGTCCTAATGTTGCAAATATTGATATCAGGGTTATTGAGAAATCAGAGTTTGAGAGCACCGATAGCTCTGATTCAGACTCTGAGAGCACCGATAGTTCTGATTCGGAGCCTTGAAGACCATAATAATGATTGTCTGGTTATATAACGTGTGGAATAATGTTTCGAAATTTACTAATGATTATCAAACCATTTAATGATTATTACTAATTATAATAAATACCCCAAAATTACTAACAAGGTTTTATTTCAATTTATACTAATTACAATATATTTTTGAATACTTATCTTAATTATGCTATACCGGTAATTATAATTTTTAATAATCATAATTAATTTTTGTGTAATCATGTTTTTGATTACAATGTTATTGACATGAGAACATTATTTTAATAAATACAGTATTTCTATTATTCTGTATACAAAATACAATAATATTCAGTCTAATAGTTTCAAAAACAATACAACCGTAAACGAAATAATCTGCAATAGAAAATAAAACATAAGTTGGAAAATTTTTATCATTAAAAATATAATTTATAGTCATAATTAAAAGTAATACAAACTTCATATCCCCGAAATGTGTCAATAATAAATAGTTGCCAACAATAAAAACCTATGTTTTCCTCCCCCAACCTCTCCAATAGTATTAATAACTGTAATAATAATTAATTTACATCATTAAACATAACATATTACTATTCACAACAATTAATTTTATTAATTACAGTGACATTTAAAACTAATTTCCATTAACTTCAACATTATAAGTAAACATTTATTATACATACTTTAAATTTGAAAGTTGTAATGATTGTATGTGTGGATGACACCAATGAATTGATGATATGATAGGTATGCATGGCCTCCAAATTAAGTTTAGCCGATATATAGATTATAATCAATAGTATGGACAAGTAGTTCACAATGATCGGGGTTATGAGTACTTGTATCAGTAAACCACTGTTTGTGAACACAATTAAATAAAAGCCAAAACTTATTAATATAGTTATAGTGAA